TCAGCTCGGCCTAGGCTTCACACCGAGTCAAGGTGATGCGAGAGACATCTTTCGCGAGATCTCCTTCAGCAAAACTAATACCGCTCGAATGACCCTAAGCGAATCCTTCGCTCTCTTTACGGCGTTTGAGCCGGGTTATAAAGCAATGGCGGGATTGGAAGTACGATGCCAGAATATACTGAATAGCTCCAACACACTGAGTTGAAGTTTTTCCCATGCATTCGGAACAGCCAACACTCAGATAGTCACGCTTCCAAACGGCCGCAGCAAATAACGTTGCTGAGACCAATAAAGAGCCTCTATGGCTCATCGGAAATCACTAGCAATCCTAACGGTTCGATTAAACTTGCTACAGATTTAATTTTCGATTCCGTTTGTACTCACCAGAGCACCACACGTCACACTATTCCGAAATGACTTACGAATAATTCGATTGTACATCTCCTTCTATTGCAGTAATCATCTCTCTCATTTCACCCCGGTCAGCTCCGCGATGACGTAGCCAACGTCTGATGAGACCAGCCTTCACCCATACCTTACTTCCAGTGGTGGGATATATGCTCGCTCTCCTCAGCTAAGGTTAAAAGTTTCATCATTTATTATAAAAGTTTACATACGAACTCGAGCAAGAGTAAACACGAACTAGCAATGATTTCCCAGACTTTCCTCGAACCTTTTACATTGTAACGAACGCATGTAGTAACCCATGTTACATGGGCCATGTACTGTTCCACACTATCCCACGAAGACAGAGAAACATGCGAGCCGAACTACTTCAAAGCGATATTTTTCTCACAAAAAGACTAATTCTTCTTATCAGTTCAACGAGCGGTAATCGGCTTCATCGTCGTGTTAATACAATTGTCGATTTTATGTTTCTAATCTACCTAGCTCACAGAGACGGAATTATGTAGATCAACAACCTGCTCGGAATCGACGATACTCAACAATTACTCCAATGATAGAACATATGTTGAGTTTCCTCAGCTGAGCTCACGAGTTTCTTCACTGCACCACGTAAAGTTGCGCACAATTATGGGCATAAAACGCATAAAATTCAGCAAGAACTTACCGATAACACAGTTAGTTGACCATATTGATATTTTCCAACACTGAACTCAATACTTCTCATCAGAAATCAGAACTGTGAGCCTAACGCGTCGAAAAGACGCGTCGTAAAACAGCTCTTTTGCGTACAGTTTTCACCATACCAAAAAAGTATTAAGAAAATATTCACTGATCATTTTCCCACCTCAATTTGCATCTTCTCCCTCCACCTCGACGCCCTCGTTCTTCCTTCGCGACGATCCACAACTTCAACAGGTCGAGCATAATAACTAACAGCGTTGATACCCTCTCCAGCTTGGCCCTTCCACGCGTATCTTCCTCCAGCCTTCTCACACAACCTACAACTCTTGAAGTGCCTCGGCCAATAACGGTTGAGACATTGTCGGCAGTAGTGAATGTCGTGAACACGATGGAGATGACCCTGGCGACTCTTCTCTTCACGCCCTCGGAGTTTACGTACATACTTATCACTACGAGCGTCTTGTATACCGAAAGAGTCCTCAACAATACTCCTACAAGAATCGAATATTTTTTCGCTGCCAGCTTTGGTACTTGTAGTAGAAGTCGACCTCTTGCGCACCTCACCAAGGGAAGGAGCAGCTTGGGTGAAAGCAACGCTCAAGGACACCATAGGGGCTCCCATAAGAGCTCCTCTGTAGGTCTCAGTAGAGGCATAGAGCAGCTGCCACTCGCTAACAGGTACCGGAGAAATATCCTCTAGAATGTTAAAGTCGCCCTCGTCGAAGTCGCTAATCTCACCAAGATCCTCACCGGCTGTACTCGAGTCGTTCGACATGTTCAAGATGAAGATTTGAATCGAATCACGCACAGTGAAGAAACCTTGAGGAAATGCAAGATTTCAATACTTGCGCATGCGTGCATATCCGCAGTGA